CTCTTATTATTTTGTTTATGGTTTCTTTTGCTGTGCAGAAGCTTTTTATTTTGATGTAGTCCCATTTGCTTATTTTCTCCTTAGTTCTTGCTAAGATATTGCTATGACATATGTCTGATATTTTGCTGCCTATTGATTCTTCTTAGATTTTTATGATTTCATGTCTTACATTTAAGTCCTTTATCCATTTTGAGTTTATTCTTGTGTAGGGTGTAAGTTGGTGGTCTCGTTTCATTTTTTTGCATGTATCTGTCCAATTTTCCCAACACCATTTATTGAAGAGACTGTCTTGACTCCATTGTGTGCTTTTGCCTCCTTGAGTTTTTGGGGTTTTTTAATCCTCACCAAAGGATATTTTTTTCCTTTTTTTAAAGAGAGAGTAGAAAGGAGGGAGGGGGATGAGAAAGAGAGAAACATCGATGCAAGAAAGACACCTGGGCCTCAACCAGGGCTGGGGAATGAACCGCAACCCACGTACGTGCCCTTGACCAGGAACCGAGCCCTTGGTGCAGAGGCCAATGCTCTACCACTGAGCCACAGCAGCCAGGGCTGTGGCTGAGTATTTTGAATATCATCCAAAATCTGTTGGTGTTCCTTAATTTACTCCCCTCTTTTCCTGAAGTTGAGTCTCTGCTGAGCTGAAGGGATAGAAATTCCAGATTTATATGCAGAGAGAAAGAGGAGAGGAGCGACTATCCCTACCAGACAGGGGCCTTCCTGTTGCCCCCTCCCCACCCCATCCAAGGCCCTCAGCACTCAGAGTACAAAGGCTCAAAAATAAGTCAGAAGCCCTGGTCGGTGGCTTAGTGGTTAGAGCTCTGGCCTGAGGATGGAAGGGTCTTGGGTTCGATTCCCGGTCAAGGGCACATACCTGGGTTGCAAGTTCAATTCCCACCCCTGTTTGTGTCTCTCACATCGATGTTTCTCTCTCTCTATCTCTCTATCTCTCTCTCTCCCCCCTCCCTTCTCCCTCTACTCTCTCTAAAAATCAGTGGGAAAAATATCCTCAATGAGGATTAACAACAACAACAAAAAAGTCAGAGTGTGAAAAAGACGAAAGAAATGGAATTTGAAAAAACTAACCGCCCTAACTGGTTTGGCTCAGTGGATAGAGCGTCAGCCTGTGGACTGAAGGGTCCCAGGTTGATTCCCGTCAAGGGCATGTACCTTGGTTGCGGGCACATCCTCAGTAGGAGGTGTGCAGGAGGCAGCTGATCGATGTTTCTCTCTCATCGATGTTTCTAACTCTATCCCTCTCCCTTCCTCTCTGTAAAAAATCAATAAAACATATTTAAAAATTAACCAACCAGCCAAACAACAACAAAAGGTCCCTCATGGTGGAAATGCTCTGTTTCTCGTTCAAGTGGCAGCCATGACGGGGACGAAGATTTCAGCCCACAACGTCACAACATCCCTGGCCCGGGCTGAGGTCCGTGGCCTGGGAACCCAGAGTGAGGGAATGACCAGCCTCAGCACGGACAGACACCTGCTGCCCTGAGCTCACTTTCCTGTTGGCTGGTAGATTCTGATGTGTCACCTCCTCCCCCAGTGAGTGCTACTAAAATATCTTAAACCATAAAATGCCTCTTGTCAGGGGTGGACCAGGTTGTGTGGGCCCTGAACACACAACTATATCACTGCTGCAAATGTTACGTGGACAGTCGGCCGGGTGGACCTGTCTCCTGAGAACCTGTTGTTGGTGTTGATGACAAATCTATGAACGTAAGGATCGTTCATGGACTAACAAGGGCTATTGACATAAAATAGTGTGTGTGTGTGTGTGTGTTTATATTTAATAGACTCCCTTTTCTTGGAAATGGTTCATTTAAGAAAAATATCCTGCCTGGCCAGCATGGCTCAGTGCTTGAGCATCGACCTATGAACCAGGAGGTCAGGGTTCCATCCCAGGTGTGGGGCGTGCAGGGGGCAGTTGATTGATGATTCGCTCATCGTTGATGTTTCTCTCTCTCTCTCCCTCTCCCTTCCTCTCTGAAATAAAAATATACTGCAAAGAGAGAGAGAGAGAGAAACATCTCCTAATTATAAAGAAGGAGACCACGCATGTGGAGAAATAAACCAGGATTATGTCAATACAGTAAGCCCTGCTCTTAAGGAAATATTGACGTGGCTCTTGTGTTATTTCTACAGTGGCATTTGCATGTCCTCCTAATGGCTCTGTAGCAGCACTTCACGAGGAGCTTTTCACTGTTTCTAGAACCTTTTAACCGTCACTGATAAATCTGTACTGGTTTTCTGCATGCTTTTCTGTTTTAACCACGGGGCTTGCATTTGTAATTTGCCGGATGCCTGCACAGTTCTGCCTATTCCCATCAATTCAATGGGCTTGTGTTGGGGGAGCTTGGGGGTGGGAATTGTTTCTCCATTGTCTCACAAATGACACTCCTGGGACTAAATGACACTCATGACACTCGCGGGCAGAGCGGCTGTTCTGGGGGCCCATCCGAGTCCGGACTCACGCAGGGCCGCGCGTCCCCTGAAGGCCGACAGAGGGCGCGCGAACCAAAAGGGTTTTGATGTTTTTCTATAAATATCTTAGATAACTAAACTTAGATCCAAATGCCTCTTAATGGTTCAGACTAGAAGTCCCTCAGATTCTCTGAAACCCCGGGTGTTACAAGTCCTGTCTTATTGAGAGACAACCACCCCGCCCTTACCGCCCCTCATTTTCCCGCGCTTCTTTGCGTCGCTGTTTGCACCCCCACCTCTGCATCCCCCTTTCTCCACCCTCCTTTGCACCTTCTATTTCCCCAGGCTCCCTTTCACCCCCACGTTCTCGCCCGCCTTTGTGCCCCCGTTTTCGTGTCCTTAGCCCCTGGCTCTGAGGCTCCTTGTTTTAAAAAACCATTTAGGTCCTGGCCAGGTAGTTCAGTGGGTTAGAGGATCCTGGGGATATGCCAAGGTTGCAGGTTCGATCCCTACTAAGGACACATACAAGAATCAACCAATGAATGCATAAATACGTGGAATAATAAATCGACACTTCTCTGTCTTCCTTCCTCTCTCTCAAATCAATTACATAATTTTTTTAAAAGACCATTTAGAGACAGACGTGGAAGGACATTCTCCTCGCTGTGAACACGGCCTGTGGGAGGAGACAGTTCCTCTTCCATGAATATCGGCTTAGTTCCACCTGTTCCGAGAAGCAGGAAATTTGACGAACATTCACTAGATTAATTCAAGTGTAAAGTATTTTCTTCCCTGGGGTCACAGAAGTTTCTGAAAGTCCCGAGCCCTCCAGGACTGGACGCAGACAACTGCAGCCCGGGGCTGGACAGAGGGGCACAGAGTTGGTGTGGCATGGACTTGGGGTCCGGGAGACAATGGGGGTGAGGGGCTGCAGGAGCGGGGCCTGTGGGCTCTTTGCCCACATGCACATTTTTTTGCCCTGAAATGCCCTCTCGGCCTCTGTTATCAAGAAAGTCCCAGTGATCAGTGACTCATGGGCTCAAGGACAGTCGCTCCGCCAGCTTTGGCTGACAAGCCTCAGATGGAGAAAGGACGGGTTCCTGGGGAGGGGCCGCAGGTTCCCACCTTCATGACACCCTTGGAGCTTCAAAGCCCAGCCTTGACCCTGCTTCCTGTGTGGCCTCAAGCAGTGATCTTGGCCTCTCTGAGCCCTGGGAGAGGGATGGGCCAAATTCGCTAATGTGTGGGCAGGGGCTTGGGACCCAGTGGCTTGTCATTGGATTCCTGGGTCATAGTGCCTTTTTGCTGTTGTTAATCCTCACCCGAGGATATTTTTTTCCATTGATTCTTAGGGAAAGTGGAAGAGAGAGGGAAAGACAGAGAGAAACATCGATGTGAGAGAAACACATGGTTTGGTTGTCTCCTGCACGAGCCCTGACCAGGGCCCGGGCCAGGGAGGAGCCTGCAACCGCGGTATGTGCCCTTGACTGAAATCGAATCCGGGACCCTTTGGTCCGCAGGCCGACACCCTATCCACTGAGCCAAATCGGCCAGGGATAGTGCCTTTTGAATCATTCATTCCACACTGGTGTCTGGGAGCACCTACTGTGTAGCAGGCTTTGGGAATAGTGGAGGCCCTTGCCCCCTTGGCCCCCCCAAGTCTAGCATCAACCACGTAAGTGGTCAGTGCTTCTCAGGACACAGTAGCCCAGAGGTGGAGGAAGGTGCTGACTTAATGTCCAGGGCACCCAGTCTGCCAACATGGCTGAAATGCACCCCCGCTATTATTCCTTGAAGAGACTGTTACTTTTCCTCAATGGTTTCATGGCTGTAAGTATGTCACAACCCAGGCCCCAGGCTTAGCGGCCCTTCCTCCACGGCTAACTCCCTCGAAGACAGAAATAAGTTGATCCAAATTCATTGGCATCCAGCTCTGTGGTCCCCAGGGAAGCGGGAGGAATGTAGGGCAGGCTGACGAGCGGCAGGACATGTTGGGAACGGGGTAGCCTCCACTGACCCCGAGCAGGTGAAAAATCACAGACGAGTGTGATCTGGGAGCCCAGAGGCAGCGGAGGACCTCTTGGCTCTAAGTCAGATCCGGCAGAAAGCGAAAGTGTGTTGGGAGGGTGGGAGGGAGTGGTCATTTTCTGGTCCTTTAAATTTTTCAAAACACTGCTTTCTTACTATAAAAATAACTCAGCATGTGCATTATTCAAGAAGTGATTGTTCTGATAGTAGAGCAGGATAAGGACAGGCTGCCCGGAAAGAGAAAGAGATTCAGTATCACTCCTCCTCGTCACCTGTGCTGTGACATTTTGGTGGGAATGAAAGGAGACACCACGTCGACCTATGAACCAGGAGGTCACAGTTCA